AAAAAAAAAAAAAAAAAAAAAAAAATCATTAGAATGAACCGGCATCCAACAGAATGGGAAAAAATTTTTGCAATCTACCCATCTGACAAAGGGCTAATATCCAGAATCTACTAAGAACTAAAACAGATTTACAAGAAAAAAACAAACAAACCCATCCAAAAGTGGGCAAAGGATATGAACAGACACTTTACAAAAGAAGACATATATGAGGCCAACAAACATATGAAAAAATGCTCATCATCACTGGTCATTAGAGAAATGCAAATTAAAACCACATTGAGATTATCATCTCAAACCAGTTAGAATGCCAATCATTAAAAAATCTGGAGACAACAGATGCTGGAGAGGATGTGGAGAAATAGGAACACTTTTACACTGTTGGTGGGAGTGTAAACTAGTTCAACCATTGTGGAAGACAGTGTGGTGCTTCCTCAAGGACGTAGAAATAGAAATTCTACTTGACCCCCAATCCCATTACTGGGTATATACCCAAAGGATTATAAATTTTTCTACTACAAAGACACATGCACATGTATGTTCATAGTGGCACTGTTTACAATAGCAAAGACCTGGAATCAACCCATATTCCCATTGACCATAGACTGGACAAGGACAGTGTGGCACATATACACCATGGAATACTACACAGCCATAAAAAATGATGAGTTTGTGTCCTTTGTAGGGACATGCAGGAATCTTGAAACCATCATTCTTAGCAAACTGACACAGGAAGAGAAAATCAAACACCACATGTTCTCACTCATAGGTGGGTGTTGAACAATGAGAACACATGGACACAGGGAGGAAAGCATCACACACTGGGGTATGTTGGAGGGGACCAAGGGAGGTAGAGCAGGGGGTGGGGAGGTCAGGGATGGATAACATCAGGAGAAATGCCAGTTTTGGGTGACAGGGGGATGGAAGCAGCAAACACATTGCCATGTGAGTATAAATGCAGCAGTCCTGCATGATCTGCACATGTACCCCAGAACCTAGAGTACAATTAAAAAAAAAAGAGTCATTCCCTATTCACTTGCATCCCAGCTTTAGATAATTACTAATCTACTTTCTGTTTCTACATGGGATGGACTTTTTATATAAATGGAATCCTAATATATAGTCTTCTGTAATTTGTTTCCTTCAATAAGCATAATTTTTTTTTAGTTTCATTCATGTTATAATATGTATTGAGTCTTCATTCCTTATAATGGAATGATATTCCATTTTGTGAATGCTGTGGTTTAATGTTCCCACCAAAACCCATGTTGAAACTTCATGCCCATAGTAACAGTATTAAGAAGTGGGAACTTTAAGAAGGGATTAGGTCATGAGAGTTCCACCCTCATGAGGAGATTAATGCTGCTGTGGAGGGAGTAAGTTAGTTATCTCAGGAGTGGATTACTGATTAAAAGGATGAGTTTGGCTTCATTTCCTCTCTCTGTCTTGCATTTTGCTTTTGCTTTTGCTTTCTGCTAAAGGATTGCCCTCACCAGTTGCTGACCATAGTGTTGGATTTCTCAGCTTCCAGAACCATGAGCCATTTCTTTTCTTTACAAATTACCCAGTCTGTGGTACTCTGCTATAGCAGTAGAAAACAGACTAAGACAATGGATATACCACATTTCATATTTCCATTCATCAAAAGGCAGACATTTGGGCTATTTCTACTTTTTGGCTAGATTTTTAAACTGTTAATAATTTTTTCTACAGGAAGCCTATTTCTTAAAGATCCTTCTTTTTGAAAGTCTTATTGAGTGATTAATTTATCCCATTTATATTAACCTAAGACATTAAATGACTATTAAAGCTCCTGGATAGCATGAGATAATCAATCATCAATCATTATTTTTTAGATAATCAATTATTGTACTAAACTGATGTCATCTCAGTCAAAAAACAGAGACTTGGCATTTTAGTGCGCTCATACAGCTTCAAGTTAAATGTCCCATTTCTGCAAGGTTTTCTGATATAATGAATATAACACACAGTTTCCCATCATTACCTCTGAAGCCAATGAAGGGCTCCTTATAGGACCTGAGGTTGGAAGTTCCTGTTTCAAATTACAGAAGAGTATGACAGGCACTTAGCTTTATTGTTTCAATTACATAAAGTAACAAGGACTAATTTCCAAAGCATTGGCATAAAATGTCCTCAGGGGATTTGGTTTCATGAACAGCTAAAAGTGATCTACAATGAACATAGTTGCTATTGTACATAAATAGTACTTTTAAAGAGCTTTAGAGTTTTTTTCTTAGGAAGAGAAATCTGGTTTAGCCTGTTTGCATGTTTGGCTACACAGAAAGAGAAACCTGCATTGCATTCTGTCCCAGTGGTTCCTAGTGGTTCACCAAACAGCAAGCATAAGTCCTCTTTCTCCCTGGTGTTTTTTTTTTTACCCAGGTTGCACCCATCTCAGGTAGGAGGGAGCTGATCCTGATGGTCTGGTTTCAGCATATGGAAGGAATTACTTTTTCCAGGGTGGAACTCTTCTAAGGCATGTACACATTTAGCAATTACAGGAAGGATCCAACTTAGTTCTTTTTTTCCATCTCCAACAGTATACAGATTTATTGCTCTGACTTGAGAAGCAGAAGCAAAGCAAAAGAAATGGCAACACTTCGATTAATTTTGAAAAAAAGAGATGATGTTGATGAGGAAAAGATAGGTGAAATGCCATAAGATTAAGGCTATCCAGAGAGTAACACTCTTTTGCATGCTCCTCTACAAATCCAACTTGGTCTGCCCCTGCCCATGGGCTACATTTCCTGGACCTAGCTTTGCATTTGCTAAGATCTGTAGCAGAAGGACCAGGTCAGCTGACTCTGGTAACAAACAGTCCCAGATCTCAGTGGCTTAATTTGTTAAAAATATATTGCTTCCTCACATCACAGTCCAATGTGGTTGGCAGTCATGCAGGAAGAGTTCAGATTTCTTCTCTTTTGACACCACCATTGTCAACACATATCCTAGTCGTCAATGAATGAGTGGCCAGGCCTGCAAGTCATGTACTGCCACCCGTCTTCCATTAGTCAGAACTCCCACAGCTTAAGCCTAACTGCAAAGGGCCCAGGAGGAAAGTAAATGGGCTTGGTAAACACTTGGCAGTGTCTCTGACACACTAGCTCTGGGCTAGGGGATAAGAAAGATTTCTATTCTTCTCTGAAGGCCTGATTCTGGTGTCTCTGGAAGGGACTCATTGTCACATTTTATAGTAAATTCTGAGATTAACCTTTCAATATAGTGAATAGTAGGGTTTCACTTGGAGTTGAATTGTTAAATATTCCTGATTCCCCATTTCAAAAAATTATCTCAAAAAGCAATTAATAGTATCTGAATCAACAGTTGGAGATTCTGAAAAAGTGAAATTCAAGAGCTTTGCTGAATCCTCTCTAAGTAGATTTTATTTAGTGTTGCAAAGGTCAGTAAGAGTGCAGTCATGTAATAGAGCTTTGGCTCTTTCCTGATTTACATTCTTGTCTTTTTATCACTGAAAAAGATTTCACCTCCAGCAAAAAAAAAAAAAAAGAAAAAAAAAATGCTACTGGAATTTTCATTTAACCTATGTGTGCACAGGACCACAACCTGATTCTCAGGAGAGATGCCCAGTGGTTAAGAGCGTGGGTTCTTTGAAGACTGCTTTAATGTGACCTCGAGCCATTTACTCTTTTGTTTGTCTGTTTGTTTGAGACAGAGTGTTGCTGTGTTGTTCAGGCTGGAGAGCAGTGGTGTGATCTCAGCTCACTACAACCTCCTCCTCCTGGGTTCAAGTGATTCTCATGCCTCAGCTCTGGAGTAGCTGGGATTTACAGGTATGCCAAGTTATGTATTTTTTGTAGAGATGGTGTTTTACCATATTGCCAAGGCTGGTCTTGAACTCCTGACCTCAAGTGATCCTCTCGCCTTGGCCTCCCAAAGTGCTGGGATTACAGACATGAGCCACCATGCCTGGCTGAGCCATTTACTTAATCCTCTGTGCCTCAGTTTCCCTATCTATCAAACTGAAGAGTGAGGCATAAGGATGATAATAATAGTACTTACCTGGAATAAGTGGATTGCCTTGCTTATCCTACATTCTACCTCCCTCCAGGGGTCCTTCCTCTCCTATGAGGTTGAAAAGCTAAAATCTGCATTTCTCAAACTCCTTTGCAGGTTGGGATTTGGAAGTTAGGTCAGTCTTGTCATTTAGATTGACTTGTTTGAAATTTGGAAGGCAGACGTGAGGAGGCCATTCACTCACCTCACTTGGCCAATTTTCTGCTGGCAAGCTAGATCTTGGAGGTGTGAGGCTACATCAGCAGCAGGAGTCCAGCATCCTTTTTCTAGCTTCTTTGGTGTCAACAGCAGGGGTAGTGGTGGGAGCTGCAGCAGCTTCTCAAATCTGGATTCCTGCTCTGGGATGCATTCTTGAATTTACTAGCTCTCAGTGACCTTGAAAGTAGTGGCTTTCCTAGCAGGAGAGTTCTGTATTTCTCTCAGAATTACTTCTGGAGGTCCAGCCTAGAACCTATTCCTTCAGCCTTTCCAACAACTTTGTAAACATCTAATTTTTGTATTGAATCCCAGCTTGCATGAAGCGGTTTCATTTTTTCTGCAATGCATCCTGCCAAAATCAGTATCTCATAGTGTTATTGTGAGAATGGAGTAGTATATGTAAAACACTAAAACCTGGCATGTAGTAAGTATTAAATACATGTGAGTTTTATTATTATGAACACATATGATCAAGAATGTGAAATGAACTGTTACAGGATTGTCCAGAGTTCCATTTTAAAAGATAAATCTAGCTCTAGCAATATGGCTACCCAGCAGCAAATAAAGTGGAGATTTAGTTACACATGGTTAATTTGCCCACATTTTCTTTTACATGCTAATTAAGGAAAAGCTGTTTGGCCCTCTGCTGACCCCATTACATTGATAACTGCCATTTCACCTGGTCCTAAAAGGACACAACCTCAAATTACTCTTTAGCTCTTGGACTCTATAAGGACACTGTGGATGAAGATGAAAGCACACCAAGAAATATCTTATTAAAACCCTCTTTTTAAAAATCAATTCATTTAATTTCAGAAGCCAGCTAAAGATGGATAACTGGCTATTCTTAAAAAATGCTAATATAAAAGAAGAAAATTTTAAACAAAATTATATTTAGTCATTATGAAACTTCCTTTATTCAAGATTTTAAAAGCCTAATTTAACATTCATTATTTCATCCTGAAATCCATTCATTCTGCCTTTCTTATAAATTACCTTTTCAATGCATGCTTTGTATCAAAGCTACAGAATTGTTTCCTTTTGTGGTTCCTTCTATTGAGCTGATATTTTGAATCCAAAGTGACCATTACTTGCCAGGCATGAGGAGTTTTCAACAACTCAGTATCATTGATGTAATTTGGGTGGCTGTTTTTGGGGATGGCAGATGTTTGTTATCAGTGATGATGATGAAATTTTTGACAAAAGAGAGACTGTTTAGCTTTTTTGGGAAATATTTCATTTTCCTATTTACATCCTTGTATGACTTGATAAGTATCTTCTACCATCAAAGAAGGATTGCTGAATGCCGCAAAGAAGAGAGGTAAGAGTCCACTTTAGAACTAGGTAGACTCTGATAAGACTCTGACTACAACTTTTAATAGCAATTTTTGACAAAAATTCTTACCAAATCTCATTTGTAAGACAATAATAATCAAAGTTTCTCCTTGGATTTCTTTTATGATTACTAAGGTAAACATGTACATAAAATACTTAAGAGAATGCTTGGCACGTGGGAAATCTGTGGAGCTACTTTTTATTACAAGCAAGTTGCTTTAGTTTTCTCACTCAAATTTCTTTGCAGAATATTAAGATAAGTTTGTTTCAAGACCTAGTAAATGCTTTTAAGTATTATTCTGAGTATTTTTACTATTCTTTACAATTAGTGAACTCTCTTTGAACCAGAAAATTTCATTAACAGAGAACTCCTAAAATATGACAGATAACAACAGGTTACTGTATTTTTCATAAGTCACTCAATAGTTCTAAAAAATCACATGTTAAAAAATAATAAAACAAAGCTTGAATATAAATGCCTACAGGCCTAAATGCCGTAGAATCAGTTCATAAATTCTATTATTGCATGGGAAAAAACAAAAAAGAATTTTTTTTCCAGTTGAGCACCTGTTTATTTCAATCACCAGAGCACGGGAGGCTATATCTGAAAACTTCGCTTCTGAGCTCAGAATCTAAACTTACTCCACAGATGGTTTTTAGGATATTTCTAGACAGGAAATACAAACTGTTCATAAAGTATTAAATGTTCTTATAGTCATTATTGGAAATGCTTTATGTTTACAAATGTGACTTCAATTATAAGCGTGTAGCGCTTTAAAAAGCTAAAGGCAGAGGGCCATTGGTGGGAATCATGCCACTGACATTTTCTACGATGATCATTTGTAGATTCCCAGGAGTGTTTTCATCTGCATGTGCAAAGATGCTGAGAGTTGTGGAGAGTTCTGAGTCTTCTATTAGTTTTGAGTTACCAAAGCCTGGACCCCTGCCCTGGTACAAGGAATTGGCTGGGTTTTGAAAGTTGAGGAGGGAGTTTCCCTTTGAGTACCCAAGGCATCTTGTCCCTCTAAGGTATGATCCACACAAACCCAGGGAATAAGGACGCTGATTTCCCATAACCATCTCTGGCCATCTGACTTACCTTTCGCTTTACCTTAGTCTCTTGTTCTGTAACCAGACTCCTTTGTGCTCTGTCAGATAAATAGCAATCAATTGTGATTGTCAAAGTTCCACCTGCTGGTGTTAGCACCGAGGTTTATGACAATAGTACATCTGACTGCTACCCTGAAAATGACATGGAAATACCACATTTGGGGCTCTATCCCTCAAAATCAGAGTATTTGACACCAAATATTACAACATAAAAATTAGCTATAGATAATGAGTAAAGTCCTCCTTTTGTGAAACAATATTGTGTTTTATCCTTTTTTGACACCTCCTAATCTGTAAAAATTTTTAGAGACAGGGTCTTGTTCTGTCACCCAGTTTGGAGTACAGTGGCATGTACCATCATAGCTCACTGCAGCCTCAAACTCCTGGGGTCAAGTGACCCTTACACCTTAGCCTCCCAAGTAGCTAGGACTACAGGCGTGTGTCACCATGCCCAGCTAATTTTATTTTTTATAGAGATAGGGTCTCACTATGTTGCCCAGGCTGATCTGGAACACCTGGACTCAAGTCATCTTCCTGCCTCTGTCTCCCAAAGTGCTAGGATTACAGCCTAACCCATCTCCCAATTTTAAAAATATTTTATGGAAGTATAATTTATATACCATTAAATATACTCATTTTAAGTATACAATTCAATTACTTTTTGAAAATTTACCCAGATTTGCCACTATCACCAAAATTCAGCTTTAGAACATTTTGGATTGTTCATTGCTAGTATACTGAAATACAGTTGACTGGGCACTGTGGCTTACACCTGTAATCCCAGCACTTTGAGAGGCTGAGGCGGGTGGATCATGAGGTCAGGAGTTCAAGATCAGCCTGGTCGACAGACCAGCCAGGCCAATATGATGAAACCTTGTCTCTACTAAAAATACAAAAATTAGCCAGGCTTAGTGGTGGGTGCCCATAACCCCAGCTACTCAGGAGGCTGAGGCAGGAGAATTGCTTGAACCCGGGAGATGGACGTTGATGTGAGCAGAAGATTGTACCATCGCACTCCAGCCGGGGGGCAGAGCAAGACTATGACTCAAAAAAAAAACCCAAAAGACAAAAAGAAATACAACTGATTTTTGTATATTGATCTTGTGTCCTGCAATTTTGCCAGACTTTTCAAAAATAGTTCTAATAGCTTTTCTTTTTCTTGTGTGTGTTCTTTACGATCTTCTATATACAAATTCCTGTTGTCTGTGAATAAAGACAGTTTTATTTCTCCCCTAATTTTTAACAGATTTCAAATCTAGTCTCTTCATCAGGAGGAGATACTGGGAGGAGATGCTGGTCTTGGGTGTACAGCCCTTGCAGGGTGTCTATCTGGCAAGTCTGGCAAGAATCAGGAACCTATCCCTTGATTTCAGGAACAGGACCCTTCTTTGGAGTTGTTTACTTATAACTGTGGTTATAATTACATATACTTATATGTTTTTATATATTTATAACTGTGATTATTTAGCACAGTTAATGAGAGTGTTTTCCTTCTTAGGTTGAAAAAGAAAAGAAATGCAATACTGGTAATTCAAATGCTTTTTGATGGCATTTATGGATACAACCTATACATTATGTACTGCAATTTTTACTAGGTGTTCATTGCCGCTGCTTCTTACTCAGCTGAACAACGAAAGAATTACTCATCACAAAAAGTTGTCTCCTTTATTTTCCTTTTTTTCTCCACAATTTGTCAATAGCACTTAATTTGGATATCTTTATAAACTCCCTTCAACTTCATATCCATGATCCATTTATTGCTAAATTCTACTCCTCTCTTATCATATTGCCACAAAAAGCTTAACTTTTTAAATTGTTCTCCCTCTCTCTCCTTGACCACTTGAAAAGCCAAAGATATTTTCTCCATTGTTAAAGCTATTTAATATTCTTCCCGATAAAATATCAGTCTACACATTTACCATTCCTCATCTTGATTAATGTAAACTTCTACTGTTGGCTTACTTATAAATCACTTTTATTTGCCAAAAATTATTTTCCATCTTTGTTCTTGTAAGAACATATCTTTCCCAGACTCCTTTTTGTTGTTGTTCTTACCTGCATTCCCCCTTAGGATTTCCATTATATTACGGATCTTGTTTGTCCTCAGTGTGTACCACTTTCTGTCATCTTGGCTAATCTTTTCACTTTGAGGACTTTAGTCTCTGCAGCTATCCTTTTGAAATGTAACTCCTCTACCCATTTCAGAGAGTAGCATTCATACATCCACACACTTACCAAGCTGGGGGTTTGGAAGTCAGGAAGTGTGCTGTTTTAGTCATCTGTGTGCCCCCAGCACTTAGCATAGGACTCTGCATAAAGACACCTCTTCACATTCCCTGATGGCTGAGCATCTTCCAGGAAGTGCCTGATGCCCTGCTGCTCTGGGGACAGAAAGAGGAATTAGAAGCTGTCCAGGGCTTTGATGAGCTCACACTCTAACTTTGAGCATTGTGAAAAGGGCAACTTATTATTCATTATGATAAGGCTATGACAGAGACAAACGGCTGTGAAAACAGAGAAAAGACTTGCCCAGGGATGAAAGTTTCAGGAAAAAGGTGCCACTGGAACATGGCCTTGACAGAGTTTTTAGTAGAAGAGAATCTAAGCAAAATGGTTCCATGGACACTTTAGCTGTTAAAGTCAAATTGGGGAAAAAAAACAACAAAAAACAGTATATTAAGAGCACACATTCTGGTCTATAGTTCCATCTTTGCTATTTTCTAGTCACGTGGTCTTGGACACAACATTTATCTGTGTTCTGATTGTATTATATTCTAAATGGGAATGATATAACAACATATGTGTCAACAATTTTGTGAGGGTCACATAAAATTATACATGTACAAATTCACTTGTGAATCCTCACTTCTAAAACATTATATGAAAACAGCTTAATTTCAATATATGGTGTACATATGGTATGAAAGTTTATATTCCCTATTGGGAAGCCAATGGATAGTGTTTGTGGTTAACATAAGACCTAACACCATAAAAACCCTAGAAGAAAATCTAGGCAAAACGATTCAGGACATAGGTGTAGGCAAGGACTTCATGACCAAAACACCAAAAGCATTGACAACAAAAGCCAAAATAGACAAATGGGACCTAATCAAACTCCACACGTTCTGCACAGCAAAAGAAACAGTCATTAGAGTGAATCGGCAACCAACAGAATGGGGAAAAAAATTTTGCAGTTTACCATCTGACAAAGGGCTGATATCCAGAATTTACAAAGAACTAAAACAGATTTACAAGAAAAAAACTAACAAGCCCATTCAAAAGTGGCCAAAGGATATGAACAGACACTTTACAAAAGAAGACATACATGAGGCCAACAAACATATGAAAAAATGCTCATCATCACTGGTCATCAGAGAAATGCAAATCAAAACAACATTGAGATACCATCTCATGCCAGTTAGAATGGCGATCATTAAAAAATCTGGAGACAACAGATGCTGGAGAGGATGTGGAGAAATAGGAACACTTTTGCGCTATTGGTGGGAGTGTAAATTAGTTCAACCATTGTGGAAGACAGTGTGGCGATTCCTCAAGGACGTAGAAATAGAAATTCCATTTGACCCAGCAATCCCATTACTGGGTATATATCCAAAGGATTACAAATCGTTCTACTATAAGGACACGTGCACACAAATGTTCATTGCAGCACTGTTTACAATAGCAAAGACCTGGAACCAACCCAAATGCCCATTGACGATAGACTGGATAGGGAAAATGTGGCACATATACACCATGGAATATTATGCAGCTATCAAAAACGATGAGTTTGGGTCCTTTGTAGGGACATGGATGAACCTGGAAACCATCATTCTCAGCAAACTGACAGAAGAGCAGAAGATCAAACACCGCATGTTCTCACTCACAGGTGGGTGTTGAACAATGAGAACACATGGACACAGGGAGGGGAGCACTACACACTGGGGTCAGTTGGGGGGAAATAGGGGAGGGATGGTGGGGGGTGGGGAGCTGGGGAAAGATAGCAAGGGGAGAAATGCCAGATGTAGGTGATGGGGAGGAAGGCAGCAAATCACACTGCCACGTGTGTACCTATGCAACAATTTTGCATGTTCTTCACATGTACCCCAAAACCTAAAATGCAATAAAATAAATAAATGGGAAAATAAATAAATAAATAAACAAATAAATATTTTTATAATATAAACACATATAATATATAATTATTAAAAATTATGATTAAAAATCAATAACAGAAGAGAAAAGCATATTATTTAGAATATTGGAAGCAAAACGCCAGTGAAATATCTGAAAGTGTTTGCCTTTGGGGAGTGAGCTTTGGAGAGCAAGTATGTAGTAGGCAGGTGTTTGCATATTACTTGACTTTTAAAATACTTGGTTTTTAAAAAAGTAAAAGTAAAAAAGTAAAAGTAAACCAAAAAGAGTGGAGAGCCATACAGAAGGAAATTTGTGACCTGGAATCCCCTGTTCTGTCATACCCTCAAAGAAGAGCACAGACCCTGCCCCTTGAAGCCTGGCCTCTCACCCAGACTCACTCTGAGTTCAGGATGGAAGACTACTGAAGTTCAAGAGCAGTAGCTCCTAATGGGGGATGTACTGTGTTCTCAGGGAAAGTTTTGGTCTCCGGGTGCAGGGGGAGGGGTCATTATTAATTGTCATAGTGACAAGGGGTGGTGAGCTGGGTGAAGGAAAGTCTGGAGTGGGTCACAGGCATCTCCTGGGCAGGAACCAGGGATGCTAGATATCTTGCAAGATGTGAACGGGTCCACACAGTGTAGGATAGTCCTGCCTCTCTCATGACTTTCATATATCCCACTGTACATTCATATAGTTTAAAAAAAGCATCCTGTTTACAAGTATCTAAGCCTAGAATTTAACTGTGTTCTAATATATTCACATTGAATTTTCTGAAATTTTTTTCTTGCAGTTTTAAAGATGTTTAGTTTAGAACTTTAACAAATATTGTGTGTGCCATTTCAGAAAATCACATCACCAATAGCAACACCATTTGTAGATTTTGAGACTCCACTGCAACTGTAGCTGTTGCATCACAGTGAATCCAAGCATACAGAGAAATATATTTATTCTCTATTTCAAAGTTTCACATATAAAAGAAGTATATTGATAATCCACTGCAAAGGTTTTATTTTTCTTATGTTATGCATCTATCTCTTCCATTATGTCTTCTTGTGAAGTCATGCCTAAACATCTATATATTAAAAGATACAGTTTATTATTATTATTATTATTATTTTTTTTTTTGAGACGGAGTTTCACTCATGTTACCCAGGCTGGAGTGCAATGGTGCGATCTCGGCTCACCGCAACCTCCACCTCCTGGGTTCAGACAATTCTCCTGCCTCAGCCTCCTGAGTAGCTGGGATTACAGGCACGCGCCACCATGCCCAGCTAATTTTTTGTATTTTTAGTAGAGACGGGGTTTCACCATGTTGATCAGGATGGTCTCGTCTCGATCTCTTGACCTCGTGATCCACCCGCCTCGGCCTCCCGAAGTGCTGGGATTACAGGCTTGAGCCACCGCACCCGGCCAGTTTATTATTAATTATTTAAAAATTTGTATTCATTTTACAGCTAGAGTAGTATGTGTTGATTTTGAAATTATGCCTGTAGAGAGGTCATATTATCTATGAACTTTATTTCAAGATAGTAAAAGAGTTTTTAACAAGTATTTATCACATAAGGCATTGAATCTGATAGGGCTTGAATATAGTTATTTAAGGAAGGCCTGGAAGTTCTTTTTCGTATTTGACCTGGATCTCTACTCTGACTGTTTAGGGCCATTTTCAATTTTCAGTCACCTTCCTCCTCCTTTTGGAGATGGAAAAGAGCTACCCAGAACCACCTTAAATTTTTCTTTAAGTCCAGAGGTGTCAATGATGTAATATTGCCCACCAGGTTTTGCATAGCAAAGACTTTTCTGGTTATAAATATAATTTTACATAGTTCACAGTTCAAAATCCATACTTTTTTGTGTGTGGAATCAGCTGCAGAATAACAGGAGCTTTTCTGCAGTCTTTCACTGCAGCCTCTCTGGAGCTTCCAGGACTGGTTTTAGAACTGGTCCCGTTTCATGATCTGTGGGGCCCCATGTGTCTCTACCCCAGAGCTAGGGCCTGCTACACTCTGCATTCTACCATTCACACTGCTAATTCACCAAGCTAATTAGGCTGGTTAAGGGTCTGTAAAGGCAGAAATCTGTTGGAGTTTAGTTTCATTCATTTCTTTCAGAGGAACTTGCAAGGAAGCTCCTGTCAGCTTTTGGAACGGGAACAGAATCTCAAAGGCTTGGCATGAGAAATAGCTTAAGGCGCCAACCTTCCAGGCCAAATATTCTAGTCACAAAGAGTCCCAATTCAACTTTTTCCCTTGAGGCAAACTTCAAAGTATGCAGGAATCAAAAACTCATATAATGAAAATAAACCAAGGGATAACACACTTAGCTAAGACTTGCTGGAAACACATTTCTCCCACTGTACCTCAATTCTCTCTGCCTCCAGAAAGACTTCATGGTACTTAATTACCGGCAAGAAGGACAGAGCAGGTTTTCTAAAGTTCACTTACTTTATTCCAGTTGCACCAGTTTTATTGAAAAAAGTTATGTAGCTTAGTACCTGCCAGGCACTGTCCTAAGCACTTTAAAAATGTTAATTCATGTAACCCTCATAACAACGCTATGAAACAAGCACTTTTGTTATTCTTATTTTACACATGAGGAAACATGTACACATTGTCTATTTTCCTTTGCTGGTAGATTTTCTTCGTTTTTTTTTTTCTTATATAAGCTTTAAGACAATGCATACTTATCTTGCGGAATTTTTTTTCATGATTGAAAAAAATCATAAAATGACTAGAGCAAAGCATAATCTCAAAACACAATGGTTGGAGTTGTGAGGTTTTTGTTCTAGTGAAATATGAACTACTTAAGGAATTCCACAGAAGGACATAAACTAAAACCTTTTAGAGATTCATTTGACCATTAGACTTAATTTAGCAGAATAAAACAGCACCAGAGGTTTTAACCTCTTGAATTTCTCATGTTTTTATGTGCTCTTGGCATTGTCTAATTTTTCCCCCACTAGTGAACATCTAGGCTTTTGGGAGGTGGCAAGAGAAGAATAGCATCCTTACAACCTGTGTAAGGCTATTGTTCACACACCAATGCACATATTGAAAGAGTAAATGTCCAACTACAGCCATTCACACTTTTTGCTTGCACCTATATAGTACCATTTATCTGCAAGCTTTTGTGACAATTTGATTTAACGCATATTCAGCTAGTTGGTTTTAAAAACTATCACAGTGTTAGCAAAGTCTTGAGACCTTTGGTCTGTTAAAATTAAAACTGTCCTACTGGAGCATTTTGGATTTTGTAAAAGAAAAGTATATGGCAGCTTCACTTATTAGATAAATCTTCCATAATATAAATTCTTTAGGGTATTGAAATTCTTACCACCCCTATTTTGGAATTCTGAAGCACATGCCATTTAGATTTGGATTATTTTCAACTATCAATTAGTAGGAAGAGGTGGGACTACTCTCCCCTTTAAAGCATTTTTCCATGCCACTGAAATTTTACAGGAAGCTTGTTATTAACTGGAATGGTCAGAGAATGTGGATGTCTGGCTACTTGGATAAGGAAAGAGTTAATGAGAAAGCTGATTCTGTTAGAACTCTTAGCCTACTCTGTAAAACTAATTAGCCCATCTAATGGCCTTAGAAAACAAAGTATATAGTACTAAATATCACTGATTCTTTCTTTTAGAGAACAAGGTATTGTTATGCCTCAGGGTTCTCATTCAGAAGGTTCATTATTGCTCTGCAGAACTTAAGAGAACAGAAGGGACAGAACTCAACCTTCATTGCTTCCTGGACTTACCTACTTTGGAATTCTTTTCACTTTTTTTCCTTTTTTTTAATCAACAAGATGCATAGGTTCTGGAGCAGCTTGCCAGGGTTTAAATTCTAGTTCTACCACTTACTCATTGCATGATGTTGAGCAAGTTGATTCTCCATTGCTGAGTTTCCTCATCGTAAAATAGGCAAAATAGTAGCACCTACAACAACAACAACCCATTACTACTCACGTTATGAGTATTAAATATTCATACTAAAGCACTAATGAGAATGTCTGTGTTTGAAATTAGGTAAACTGCAAAGTCTAACAGGATAGTCTCCAAGACCGTCCTCACTTTGACACTAACTGAAAGCCTGGGGGGAGGGTTTTCTAAAACCACCCCTTGTTTTGATAATTGACTGAAAGAGCTAACAGAACTTACTGAAAGCCATTACACTGATAACTGTTAGTTTATTACAGGATACACATTAGAACCAGCCACAGAAGAGACACAAAGGGCCAAACCTAGGAGGGCTCCAAACACAAAGCTGCCATTATCCACAGGATGTTCTACTCTCCTGGTATCAATGTGCAACAATACACATGGATTATTGCCAACCTGGGATGCTCACCTGAGCTTCAGTGTCCAGAGTATTTATTAGAGCTTCATTATGTAGGCATGATTGTTTGCCCATGTAGTTAAACTCAGTTTCTAGTTTCTCCCCTCACTCTCCAATGTCAACCTAACACCACATGGCTCAAGGGCCCCACCATGCGTAACCTTGTTAGCATAAATTATCAGGAATTATCTAGGTCACCATGAATAAAAAACATGTTTCTTTCACTTGGAGAATTCCAAGAGTTTAACAGTTACCACCCAGAAGCCAGGGACAAGGAGCAGACCTCTCTTTCGGTCAGGCCAATTTCTTTATTATGCAGAGTAAGCATTCTCCTAATTTTTATGATTATCATAGTAATTGCCCTTTTTCTAAGAAGATCAAGGAAAAACATTTTTTTCACTTCTCTAACTTTTTATTATGAAAATGTATAGACATACATAAAAAACATTGTAAGAAACATCCATATAACCACTATTAGATCCTACAATTAACATTTTGCCATATTTATCTATCTAGATGAGTATGTATATACATATGTGTGCATATATAATGTGCATGTTATATATGGGTAATATTTTTGCTAAATCATTTGAAAATAAGTTGCAGCTATCACAACCATTTATCCCTCAAAACTTCAGCACATATTTCCTATGAAAAACGACAATACCACTATTATAACTTAGAAAACTAACAACAGTTTCCTAACATGTAATATCCAGACTATATTCTAATTAAAGATAAAATATGAGTTGATTGGGGGATCCAATTAGTTGACATACTCCCTTTCCCTTTTCCCCAGACACCATGCTCATCCTGTATCTCCCTTGTAGAAGAATCTAGGCTTCATGTTTCTTGCTGATCAAGTCCAAACACCGGTATCTGTCCTTCAAAGTTTCTATGATCTTGTAGGTCTTTTGTGTGTTGCCTCTATTCCCACATACATTTACATAACATTTCCTGAGTGCCTACTGTGTTCCAGGCATGGTACTGATTACTTCGTGTTCACATCTCAGTTCCTACTGCCTCATACCATCAACCCTCTCTGCTCAGACATGGTGTCTCCCTATCTTTCTGCAAAAACTGTGCACAGTGATCATAGATAGGCATTATTCTGTTCTTCTCAGCCTTCAGATTCCCCTGGTTTAGTAATCTTCAAACTGTGTCCCATGGGTTCAGTTGATGAGCCCCAGAAGTGAACTTGAGGTTGAGGTGATGGACAAGAGGGTGGGTCATAGAGTATCTATAGCTTCCCTGCCACCACCAAGAAAGAATTATTAGTATTCTACTACTTAAAAAAATGATCTTACAAGCCATTAATCTAATTCAACCAAATCATTATACAGAATAGTGAATCAATTTGCTCAGATATCCAAAACTTGGGTTTGGGGAGAAGAACCTACGGCAGGGATATTTGACTACCGGTGCTTCCCTTTAGCCTTTGGAAAGGTCGTCCCCTTGTCTGAACAGCCACTGAAACTCCTCTCAGATCCACTCCTACCTCCTTAAAGGATTGGCAACATCTACCCTCTCTTTACCATTAAATCTCCCCATAGCTGCCCAGGTAGTATCTTTCTCTGCTCTTGTAAAGCATTTTTAGTCTGAAATGCATACATTTAACATTTAATTTTGCACTCTGGAAAATCTTTTTTCTTTTTTTTGTGTGTTTTAGTTTTGTCTCCCTTCAAGGTCAATGGTACTTTGATCTCGGGAGAACAACTTGGACATTTTAGTCTACCAAAACATTTCAATAAACATTCACCAAATAATTACTGTGCACCAGGCACTAGTTGAGGTGCTTTGAAGAACATAAGGATGAGTAACTCCCTGCTTCCAGAGGCTCAAATTCTATTTGTGAAAAGAGGCAAGGAAATAATGTTCTACAGTGTGAATGAAGTAAGCACAAAATATAGGTCAAGAAAGGTGCTGTGAAAATGTAAGAGGAAATACAACTCATTGTAACAGAAACAATTGATAAAGTTTCCATTTGTTTCTATTCATCATGGGGCACCCTGTAGACAAGTGCTGTTGATTAACAGAGGGGTTTTACTCCATCTTAGTTTTGATGAATTAGTATTCAACTTTGCTAAGAAGTGCACACGGCCAAAGGCCTGTTTTGCCTTATGAGAACAAAGTCAAAAATTAAATCTTTTTGGCTTTGTTCAAAATTAAATCATTTTGGGGTTGTGATTACTCTTGCAGCACAGGGCTCAGAACACAGTAACTGCTTAACAGTTGCTTATTAAAAGCAGCTTGTGGTGCTTTGTACATATTGAGTAAACCAGTTTTTAGAAGTACCATTCATTATGAATCTCTCACACTAAATTCCATTAAAGAGCAAAAGCATATTTTGAGATCACCTTATTCTGATTCGATCCTACCTTCAGGAGATTTCAAAAATTTCTCAGGAAAAAAGCAATTCTTATGGAATTCAAAGAAGACTCAGCTCCAAGAATAAAATTACATCAGATAATTATTAAGGTCAAGCCGAGGTCTATGATTCCCAACTCCTGACACTACCTTCCTCCTATCGTTTATTCTCCCAAAAGTCTATTTTAACCTCAAATTCAAATTCCATAGGTCATTTATGTGACATTCTAGGGTTTTCTAGTACAAAAATATATTAGTGGAAGAGCCACAAGAAATACTCAGGACAAATTATTTCCTGGAAGTACAACTAAACATTAATTACGTCAAACCCAAATTGTCATTTTTGGCAGGCACACTGTGGCAACCAGATGAATAATACTCTTAAGATGTTATTCATTAAGTTAACTTATTTAATTTCTTGTGGGTTTGTTTATGGCTAACATCTGTTAAAGTCATGGAGATATAGTTCTCAAAATGAAATCCATTAGAGAAACTACATTAAAGGTGTACCATGAAGAGGTTAGGATTCCATAATGGCTCTTATAAATGTATGTTTGTGTTATTACGTAATTAATGTTGGCTTTCCCACCCACTAGACTCTAAGCACCGTAAGAGCAGGGAAACTAACATTTTCACTACTGTTTCCCCAGTGCCTTGCGAAGTGTCTGATATCTAGGTGTCCAATATATTTTTGATAAATTGATGAATTTGGAAGACAGACTTTGGTGCAATCCTGGATTACTCTTTGCCCAGTAAAACTTGCTTGTTAGAGATCAGGAAGAACTCACAGAAGATACACTTATCAAATTCGCAGAGAGGGAAGCAGCTAGGGAAAGTGTAGTTTGAGCCATAGGAAAATGCTGTTTTTGCAGGTCCAAACGAGAAGAGAAGACGAGCATTTCTTTTGGTTCAACCTAACATGATAGTTTTGAATATTTCTGTTCCCATTTCTCAGTCATCTGGATTTATAAGACTCATTTAAATGCACCATACTTGTAAAAGACATCTATGTCCTATGACCATAATCTGGAAGGGTGAGAGAGTTATTTTAGATGAGATGTGAAAGACATCTTTAGACATTTGAACAATTGTTGGGGGAAGGATCAAATTAGTTTCTATGTGCCTGATCCTAGTTTAACTGGAATCAATATTTGAAAGCTACAAGGAGACAGTTCTTAACTCAGCAATAAGGATAGACTTTTTAACTTTCAGAGCTGTGACACTTCTTCAAACCTGATGTATTTAATCAGCCTGAGTAACTTTTTGTTTGATTCTATTGTAAAGAGAAATCTAAGCCACATCAGGGAGAGACTAGATGACCTCAGGGGCTCTTCTCAGTTTCAGAGTTTATGACTTGGCTTCAAGGAACCCAGTAAGACCCATTAATGTAGGTGCAGGTGTATTTATCTCTAAGGGGATATTCTGTATTCAATTGTTAAATATTTTATGCTCTAAAAAGAAAGGTATTACAGATCATGGTATAATTTTTCTACAAAAATTGGACTTGAGTCTAGATTAAAAATAAATATGAGTACACAAGCTGAACAAGTATTATCACAAGAATAGCACCACAACCAAGAGAAAGAATTCCTTAAATTTATGGTATTAGTGTTTCAAAGAGGCTTTAAATCCAAACTAAATTAAAGAATTGTTTAATTTTTGCATTAATTCTAATAATTACTTAAATTAGATAAAGATTGTTTAATTTTTGCATTAATTCCAAAGAATACTTTCCAGAATCATGGTTTATATGTTTGGGCTACACCAAACACATAGCTTCCAATGAGCTTCAGTTAGAGATGAAAATAGCAGTGATAAGAACCCTGAGCTTGGTCCTTTCGTGTCCATAAAAGACCAAATTCAGTTCAACAAGTATTTGCTGAGTCTATTTAACTTGTTATGTCCTACAGGCACAAGGGAGAATGAGGCAATGCAACCACTCCTCAAGGAACTAATGTGCTTCATGTTTTTGCTAGAAATATTAATGCTCCCTGAATTAGTCCATTCTCACACTGCTAATAAAGACATGCATGAGGCTGGGTAATTTACAAAGAAGAGAGGTTTAAAGGTCTCACAGTTTCACAAGGCTGCGAAGGCCTCACAATCACAGTGGAAGCCAAAAGAGGAGCAAAGTCACATTTTACATGGTGGCAGGCAAGAGAAGCCAGAAGTGAAGAGGGGGAAAACCCCTTATAAAACCATCAGATCTCATGAGAACTAACTCACCATCAT